CAATTTTAAATTTATCATGGTGTTTTTACACAGCAGTATTAAAAGACATTTAGGACAGTAATTTCGAAGAGAGAATCTAAAATTACTCGAATGACGGGGTGATAGTAAGTCGTTTAGAGACAACGTTCCCTCAAAGAAAAAAGGTTTCGGCTTGTGTTACCTGAAAAACGTCATCTATATAATAAGTTTTCGAGAGAAAGCTGTCATTACCTCCTTAAGCGCTTTGACGTCGACCAGTCGCTGATTGCTCTGAGATAGATAGCTGAAAGAAATTTCGTATACGTCATGTTCAATGACCTTAGGTTACAAAAAAAAATTCTTTCAACAGATCTTTTATAGATTGACCTCCTCCATGAGGGATTCAGTTTTGAAAAATAGAGAAATCTTGAACAAGAACTTATTCAAAACTTGTATTTATTTGAAGTTATCATATTATGCTGACTTCAAGATCAGGTTTCTTTCGAAAATCATCGAATGCATAGGTAGATGTAGTTATTTTTGTTTTCAAAACGCTGCTCATAAATAGATGACCGCATATAGCTTTAGGAATAGAAGAGTTAGAACCAAAAAATGTGTTATAACCACGATTTCTATGCGAGTATATAGTCCAAAATCTAGCGGTTTATAGTGATTCTGCTTGACTTTCTGTCACTCTTTATCAAAGAGAGAAGGAGAATCAGATAGCTCTTCAGTTCACAATAATCCTGAATGTCATAGATATTCAGAATCAGTGTTGAATTCTGAACGAAATAGCCACTTTACTTTTGTTTGACAATACCAATTCCTATTTTTCGTAACATTTTTATTTGTAATTAAAAAGAGAGCATCGAAAGCTGAAACAAATGGTGTAGCATTGAAGTATTTTTTTTCTAATTTTTGAATCAGACAGAAGCATCGACATTTATTTTCTGAGGAAATTCTTCACCAAAAAAATAGCTATTTTGCATAGATGTACTAAAATTCTTCGCGAGTTTCTCAACAAATTTTATTTGAGGAAACCATTTTTTCCGAAAAATGCCAAATTTTGAAAATCTCATCCAATCACCATTCGAGAGACAAACAAAAACTGCATAGGTCTGTGACATTTTCCCATTGGAGCTTATTTACGTTATCAAATGGAAGAACTATAACTTGGAGAAAATTGTATGTTTTCTTGCTTTCTGACTTGAAAATGTCTGTTAGCTTGAAAAAGATTAGGTTAATGCAGTTTCTCATCATGTTTGTAAAGTCAATTTGTTTTGGAGCAGACCTAAGTAGTGTTGAATGTCAGTGAACCATATAATTCGACCCCAAGTCTAGCATCTCTTTAACTAGCTCATTTATATTATCCCATAAAATAAATCACTTTAATCATTAAAACTTAATTTTTTTCTTTTAAATTTTCAACCCCATATTCGTAATCAGTATGAAATTCTGATCCAGTTATTGAGTATTTCTTTAGAATTTGAGAATATTAAGTTTTCGATGTCCCTGAGGAGTTGATCACATGGACTAACACTTCTGCGAAAAGTCAAAAGTGATATTTTCAAACAACTAAAGCGACCATTTTATTTAGAATCTGACGCTAAATCTGAATATCTATATGGATTTTTCAGCCATATTCTGTACTAAAACGCTATTTTATCCACCTTTATTCTTTAAGATGTTACAAAAAAATAAAAGTACTAAAAGTACTCTTTGGGACTAGTGCACTAGAAAATTTGTATGTGGTACTTGAAGATAAAATAAAACTTGAAATTGTTAAAGCATGCATGCAAGTAACCTCAGTATAAGAACTGGTCGTATTTGACTGTGTTGGAAAGTATGGAGCTGGATTAGCTTTAGAAACATTGGGCACTTGCCTGAAAACGTTAAATGTAAAGCCAGAGGATTTGCTAATCAGTAATAAACTTGGTTGGCACAGAACTAATGAACTTCCAAATGGCATAGAACCTACATTTAAACCTGAAGTATGGCATTATTTGAAATATGATGCAGTACAGAATATCAGCTACAAAGGTATACTTGAGTGCTATGAACAGGGCAACCAACTGTTGAATGGTTACAAGGCTGAACTTGTATCGGTACATGATCCAGATGAGTATGTTACCGGTGCTCAAAATCAGTTAGAAAAGGAAAAACGTTACAATGACATTATTGAAGCTTACTGTGCACTTTCTGAATTAAAGACTCAAGGTGAAGTGAAAGCCATTGGCGTAGGATCAAAAGATTGGAGAATGATAGAACGTATTGTAAACGATGTTAATTTAGATTGGGTAATGATTGCCAATAGTATGACTGTACACAGTCAACCCCAAGAACTAGTTACTTTCATGGAAGAACTGCAACAGCATGGAACAATCATCATCAACGCAGGAGTGTTCAATGGTGGACTTTTAGTTGGCGAAGATTATTATAATTATAAATTGATGGATCCTCTGTATGATCGGCAACTGTTTCAGTGGCGCACATGTTTTTTTTAAACTATGCGATAAATAAAAAATTAAACCGGCTCAAGTATGCATCACATTTGGACTATATGCACCGGGAGTTAAGAGTATAGCGTTAAATGCTGCAAGTGTGGATCGTGTTAAAGAGAATTTGAATATGACAGTGGCAGAAAATTCGGTTATACCGTCAAATTTTTGAAAAGAGATGAAAGAACATGGATTGATTGACAAAAACTATACTTATTTGTAAAGAACGCTATTACATAGTATTCCTTGATCGCCACAAATCCATATTATCCTATAGTTATCGTTCTCTTTCCATCATTTATGTACTCTTATGCTTTTCTCTCTCTCGTCTAGCGAGCTGTACATATGGCTGCGGGTATGGTTCGTGATGATTCTTTACAAACCCACACTCACATCGCACATCCAACCCTGAAAAAAAAACGTTTTTCCTCAATGATATCTAGAAAAGATGGCTGTGACGTGCTTATGTCACTAAATATGTTTCACACAGCTCTGCTGTATATTCTACTTTATTTTCTGATTACTTTTTATCTTATTTTGTGCTCTTTCATTGCTATTGCTTTTGAATGATGATAGAAAAAACAAAGTCAATATGCACGTTTTGCAGGTTTCCATTCAACTGCTTCAACATTATAATCATATACAGTATTAAGTTTTAGAAATCGATTATTCGATTATCATCATCTGCATAACTCAAAAAGCAATCTTCCTTCTCGTTTAATCTAGCAAAATGAATTCCTAAAGGGTGGGGGTGCAAGCTAAAGAAGCACCCACACCCACACCCGTCCAAATGATGAAACCTGTACGTCATTGAGGGAAACTAATTCCAGACGGTCAGGACCACGCGAAGTCTTTTATAATCACAAACAATTGCTTAAATCACCTGGCATAACCTAGAATTTCATGATATGCTTGGAATCACATAGAAGGCCAATCAATTTACATTCACAAAAATTTATTTAAACCGCGAATAAGTTCCGAAAAAGATAAATTTAGTATATATTTAAACTGATTTTAAATTTGAAGTTTTATATAAGAATAATTCCAATACATTTTAAGATTAACTTGGTAGAATTGAAATTTATTTTGAATACATTTTAGCAAGAATTAAAACTTAAAATAAGTTAACAAGAAAACGTCACCCGTAATCAGATAGAGTTAACTTCTATTGAAATACTTGCTTAAAATATTTATTAATTTTGAAAGCATTTCATGTCTTCTCTTCATAACAACCAATAGTATTCCAGTGCAGTTTCTAATTAAAGAGCTCAGTTTATTTCTTCAACGCTATGACATATCATTACATAAACAGAACTGAGTAATCGTAAAAGTGCTAATCAATAGATGATGTTAGAAAAACATAGTCTCGTTACTTTGACGGTATGACCTTAACTAAACAACTCAAACAGAAAAGCATTACAGTCAATTTTCTGGTGATTATGCGTATGTTTACCTGGATTCGGAAATGGGTGCACCTACACTTCTATCACACAAACACTGTCATTTCTGTTACTTAAATTTCAGTTTGCATCCATCCTTCTTTATCATCTTTAGTCAAGCTCCATTGACACAATCATTAGAACTAAAAATAAACGATTTTTTGCAATATTAAGATGCGAAAATTCGAATTGAAAGTTATGAAAAATTTCTACATTCCCATTCATTCCGTGCCATTCGAATGGTTTGGAAAGAATCCATCAGATAGAAGATTTACGGTTCATATATAGTCGACCCTTTTTCTTTCACTTTTTAAATCTGCACAAATTATGATGTAAAGATACAGCTTTCAACATTACAATTCTCAAAGTATCTCATGATGTTCTTATACATCATAAGATTGATAAGATGAGATTCAATGTTGTGGATCATTTTGTTATTGGTCTTCTGTGTTTTCTGTTGATGCTACTTTTGGAAGGATAAAACAATAGAGAAAGATTGAGTTTCAAAAGACTGCAGACATCGAAACTTTAAGAGGCTTCAAAAGTTATTGGTGGATAAGTACAATCAATAATCATTCAAATCAACTTAACTACATATTTCTCTTATTAAATCTATTCTCATCAATATACTAATTACTGGAATATTTTCAGACGATGTAAGGCTTCTGAAAATATGCCATTCACACTGTAGATGTTCATAGAAAAAAAATATTGGATGTGTCTTCTTGAACTTTCTCTAGGTGTTTTTCATTTATCTGATACAATGAGTTTTGCTCTTGTTGTATTAAGATAAATGGATCAACAATACAGAAAGAAAAGAATTTTATACTAAACGAGTAATTCAACACGAAATAAATGTTTAACATGTTAATTGCCAAGCTTTCAAATCATTTGATTTTCATTGTAACAATAAAGCACATTATATTTTGAAATGGTTAGTAGATATTTTAATCAAATGATGATTTTTTTTTTTTTGTAACTATTCAATCATATGAAAAAATAGAAATAACTGTTTAGAATAATCAAATTCTGTGAATCTCTTTTAAATAAATATTGAATAAAGATCTATTTGATTAAATTTATCATAAAAGTAATGTATTATTGATTATGTAGAAAGAAATGAACTACTAGTTAAATACGTAATATTTGAATTATCTGTTTTTTTACTTCTACGACTTCCTAAACTTGCAATTGTTGAATCATGACCCTTTGTTGATTTCTTTTTTTTAGATTTTGAACGTGCACAATGTCGTCGTAAAAGATAGAAAAACACCATTCCAACAATAATTAATAAAACTAATGTAATTGCTATACCAATAATTAATGTTTTCATTGAATTATCTTCTATAGAAATATATATATACATATATATCTTCAAAAAGAAAACTATCTTTTTAATAATCACCTTCTTTACTCGAATGAATAATTTTCACTGATTTAAGTGTCAAATTTCCATAAACGTGTACTTGTTTTATAGCATTTACTGGATCACGTCTTTCAAATTTAAAAAATTTTTGTTCATTAAAAGAAATCTTAAAATAAATAAATAAAAATAAAAAACAAATCAAACAATTTTCAATCAATATGTTTACATTAAATCCTTCATCTTCATTAATAATAATACTTATCATAAATGATGTATTAACAATCAATGGATTAGGTATTAATCTAACTTCGTCCAACCAACGATCTTTATATTTAGAATTTAATGCAATCATAGTATCTATAGATTTAAGATGAAATGGTATATTTTCTTTATTGATTATTAAATCAATATAAAAACTAAACCATACACATATAAGAAATTTAAATTATTTTGAAAACAAAAAAAAAACTACGTACAAAGGTTCGACAAGTACGCCGAGAATAATTATTTCATCTTTAGGTATGAGTTTTAATAGAATGTCTTCCGTATAATTAGTAAGCCAAATATTCTTCAATAAAAATAATTAAAAGAAAAAAAAAAAAATTTTGTTTTTTCTTTACTTGATTTTGACCATGAACAGGATAAAAACAAAGATGATAAACATCACAGAATACGATTATACTAATAATAATGATTTTATGATTTGAATATGGTAATGTAAGAAGTATTAAATGACACATGGGAACCAACAATCGAAATAAGAGTGTTGATGGTTGATTCGTCGCGCCATTCTTATAACGAATTTATTTTGCATTAAACAATGAAAATAAATTTTCAAAATAATTCATTGTTAATCACATTAAATGAATTGATTAATCTAATCTTAAAATAAGATTTAATAATTGAAGAAATTGGTTTTATGTATATTTGCAATTGTATCAAAGACTCAAAGTATGATGTTTGGGATCAAATATTTTTTTTAAACAAAAATGTAATTGAAAGTAAAAAATATATATGTATAAAATTTCTTTATTTAGTAAATTGTAATATTAGTCCTATTCATAATAGATATCATCATCAGAAAATACAAAAGATTGTATATATTTTACTTTTAGTTGAATTTTGTTGCTTTATACAGATAGCGAAAAAAAAAGGCGTTGAACCATATGCTCACAAGACTTAGTTTGTTCTAGAACTTTCAAAAGTCTTTCTCGAGATTCGAATGGCTGGAATACACTTGTAAAGTTTTAAATAGTGCAGTTTTTTCTGTTTCGAGCACATTAAAATTTGTCTGCCATATGTTAACGATGATTGGTAGGTATGGATTGATTTACCACATTTGTTATATATTCAGCATAAGAAGCATGAATTGATCAAGTTATAACTTTGGGATATAAACAACATTAATACATTGAGACGTACTACTGTAGACTTAAAGAATGCTTACAACAACCTCATTTTCCATTTAATTCAATGCTTATAACGATATCATTATTAAATTAAGAGAAATCAAATTACGAAAATGAAAAGTAGAGCGCTTGTAAAAAATAGAAGAAAATTCTGTTCGAAATGCAGAATTAATTTTCAGTTTACATATTTTGCGTTAGTTTCAAAACAAAGCAAAAAAATTGTTTGAGAGTTATTAAGAATTTAAAGTAGAGAGTCACTATCGAGACATCCTATACACACTAAAATAAAATGTATTGCATATGTTGTACTTGGCGATCCATTTTGACAACGTGATTCGAATTCGTTCTTCAATACATTTGTCAAGGCAATTAACCTTTTATACTAGGAAGACATATGACAATCTTTGCTTTGTTTTTCATCTCAAGTGTTATGCTTCTATCTGATACGGTAGACATTTACATTCACTAACTGTGTCCAATAAACGGTTACGATTGCTTTGTTTTTATTAGTTATATTCGATAGAATAGTAATGATACTTCTTGTATAAATATTTATCGACGAGAAATTTACATAGTCCTTATCATTTTCATCATCATGTATCACGTAGACAACTAGTATAGTAAATGATTATTGTTCATTGAGTAAGTGTTTAAAAAAAAATAATGTTTCATCGGTAAAGAATACAATAAAGTAAAATGTTTAAATATAGCAAAAAAGATTTTCTTAATTTCTATAGTATATAAATTTTGTTCATTTTCATTTTGGTTTCGAATTAGAGATATAACAGAGTTACCGCCAACTACTCTACAGGATAAGTTAGACGACTAATATTATCTTTATTATATAAGTTAAAAGTGAAATCATTTTCAGATAAGAATTTCGTATTTTATAGGATCTCGATGTGAACAAAGATTGATGAGTCGACTTTTGTCTTTTCTTTCTTCATCAATGAATAACGATAGTTTTTACATTGTTTTTATTTTCATAGTAGTAATCGTTTGCTAAACGATGTTGCTAAATTTAAAAACCGCTCAATTGATTGACAAAGATAACGAGAAGGAGGAAATCGTTGTCGTAGTGTCATTGCCCATCGAAGAAAAACAATATATATATATTTCTTTTTTATATGTGGTTGTAGTAATTAATTCATCCTAAAGAAAATATTTGATTTGATAAGCAACGTTCTCAATAAATCGTACAGATGTGATCTAAAATACAAAATAACTTTTTTTTATTTTTATTTTTATTGAGTATCTGTTATAGCTTTAATATTCATGCAAAACAAACTATCAGATTTATATTCTTCTAATCTCATCATATCGAAAGTCTACCTCCAAAAAAAAAATGATAAATATTATATTAAAATTTCTATACATGAAAAATGACTTCTTTACTCTTGTGGCTTTCATGTTAATTCTAATAATATTATTTGATTTTTGAAAATTTCATTTATTTTTTCTTAACATAATAAATAATAATACTGATAGTACCACCAACACAAAGTAAAATAAGACTAACGCTCATAATGATTAAAGCTGTTTTCATAATATTTGCTCTTGTATTTCTTGAATGATAAGCATTTAATTGATCTTTACCAAGATTTATTTTTAATTGTATCCACGGTGTAGAAGATACTGATAAAAATTCATTTGCATCAATATCTACTTGTGGTACAGCTAAAGTTCTATCTTGTTTTATAAATACATACAATAATAACCAGAGATGAAATAGGATGTAATACTCTAAGATATTCATCAAACATAACAAAATCCGAACTGATCGAACTTAAATTTTTCTTTTATAGAACTGAAAATTGATCAGAATAGATGACAATATTCTACATGGCAACCAAATAATATTCGATTTTTTCATTTGAGAAATGAAGAAAAGAAAAACCTATTGCAACAAAAAAAATTTGTTTGCTGTCAAATGATGTAAGAAATACTTGAAAAACAATAAGGAAAAATTGTCAGTCATTATCAAAAGTTCACTTCTTTTGTCAATTAGTCAAATTATTGATTGCCATTCGAATCGAAATCACTATTAGCAACAAAACCATAACGAAGATCAAGTACAAAATTTTAGTACTCCTACAAAATATGCATCACTCTCAAATACATCTATGATATTTACACTTGGATTATTTCTAAATGTAACAGTATATTTACAACTCTATCGATATGGCATTATTATCTGTATACGAATCAATCCCATGTGACAATTACTGTCAGTATACCGATCGCTATAATTTGTCTTATATCATTAGTTTACTGTTGGATTTCTTTTTATAGTGTAATTGTATCATAAATATACTTAAAATATGAGCACATATCTTTTGACCAATGGCTCTCTAATCTGATATCATGTAAAAGTATTCACACTCATGTCATACTTTTAGACACAAACATTTTCATTCCTACTGATATTGAAATAATACCATGACAATATAGTAAAATGATTAATTTTTAACAATGAATAATTAACTTATCACATTGTCAAATAGAAAGAAAGAATTAGACCGTCAGTCGAGTAGAGAACGCAGTTGACTATACAAGTTCTGTATATATTAGTAGTTTTTTCTTGTTGAAACGTATTCAAGTATTAATTCATTTTAGTATGCTTTTGACACTATACTAATGTTAAAATATAAATGCAAATCTGTTTCTCATATTCTTTTTATTTTCGGTATTGATGAAATACTCTCTGCCCATTGTGAGTGTTGTCTCACTTGAAACAAACATCAGCCGATAGAGCTTGAAATTTAGAGTTTACAAAACCCCATTCAAAGTCAAAACTTCAACAATATAAATGTTTAAAAAAATACAGTAAAACACAGCTCTTATACATATTTGGAACTGATTAGAACCATTAGACATTTATCATAACTTCATCTAACGTTATTTTTTCGAACATCTATTTGTTTGAGCTGTTGACTCAGAGTGATTCATTCTAAAAAAGTATTTGCATTTTTCACATGTACGTACATTCAACACGTTTTCGTGATCTCAGCAACCTTTTTCCAATTGAAAATTATCCTCAAACCATGATTAATGCGTCAAATGAAAGAAATAGAAGAATTTACTGTTGCAACTAAGAGATTGAGCAACAATAAGTCGGCTGTAACTTTTCGTGCAGTTAGCTGCTTGAATAAATTTTTCTCCTGCTCAATGTCATAGATTGCAAATTTACATCAGATTTTCAATGAATATATTTATTATTTATTATAGAAACAATCGATCATACAACATCTCAAATATGTATGACAGTTCTTCATGGCTTTATTCAATCAGCCATTCGATAAGTATTTCGATGCATCGATTCAAGGTTTCTGTGGGAACCACAATTTCGAACGTACCTCTCGGATCCTTACTTCTCTATAGGTCAGTAAAACGCGAAGTTTTCGACCAGCCATAGGGTTCTTATTGAGGGGATCGAATTTTGATCAAAATAAAAAGAATTTTTTTCCGATCAGTGCCGCATTCTCGATTCGTCGAAACCTATGGAATAAACGCGAAGAAGAAAATTCGAACGTAGACACTTACGATTAACATTTGACGAACAGCTAAATTATCTAACTACAGAAAAGACTTTTTTTCTTAAATCTCAAATGTCATATAAGAAGCTTATTTGATAAATAATTTATTTATATGATAAAGTATAAAAGCAATATTTAAAAAAATTTCAAAGATTCAACATGCAAAATTCGTTATAGCTGTGTTTTTTGTCAAAAACGCTTATGGATTTTGCAGCAATTGCAGAATGCCTACCAAGCAGAATTCAGAATTTTGTGGACTTATATATTTTTTTTAACGATTTGATTATAATATTCTTTTCTGGTCTGTTTGATTTCTGCTTAGAATTTTGTAGAATTCTGTATCATCAGAGATGACGTCTTTCATTCCAGTCGGTTGAAATTCTGCTGAGAATTCTGTAGAACTCTGTGCTATGAAAAACAATGTTCTTTCCTCACTAGGACATGTAGAATTCTAGTATTCATACTGCAAGTTTATATTCTGTTACTCGTCTCAGAATTGTGTTTTATATTCTCCTTATGTATTTAAATTCTTCATTGGAATTTTTCCTCTCTCTACGAGCTATACTATTCTAGTATGTCTATTGAAAGATTATATTGTCTTAGTGATACCACAGCTCTGCTTTAAATTCTTCTGATATTTTTATATGCTTCATAAGAGTTTTTCTCTTCTACTTGAGATATACCATTCTAGTATACCTATTGAAAGCTTATATGCCTATAGTTGTAACAGCATTCTGTTTCAAATTCTCCTAATATTTTAAAATTCTTCAGAAGGATTTTTTTTTCTATTGCAGATATGACATTGAATTCAAGTATAGCTATTGAAAATTGATATTCTGTTAGTGATAACAGAATTCTGTTCTAAAATTCTGCCGATGTTTTTAAAATCTTCATCAGAATTTTATTTTTTCCTTGGTCATATAGAGTGATGTCATAATCCCGTTACACGGGGTATCCACCACAAAACAGCAAAAAGTAAATGAGTATTCGAATGAATTCTGGTGTAGTATGCCAAGTGTAATGACATCGATTACATGCATGGATAACTATATATGTGTAAAGTTGAGCGTTTTGAGTGGTTTTGGTGTGACGAGATCATTACACCGGGGTAATACACCAAAACCACTCAAAACGCTCAACTTTAAGGATGTATGGTTTGTGTAAGGGGTAATGAAGGCATTACTCCTCTTCGTAAATCATAGGTCGTAAAAGTGAATACATTTGATTACTCTTCGGGTATTCTGACGGTTAGCTCTCGATACCCAGCGTAATGGTATTATGACATCTATGTCTATTTCTATTCTAGTCAGAATTCTGTAGAATACTTCCTGACAGGTTAGTGTGGTATTTAGTAGTTTATTTGCTATTGGGAATTTATCTTAGTGAATTGATCTATTTTTTACCGATATTACAATTCTGTTTTACATTCTGCTGGAATTTTTTCAATTCTTTACTAGAAATTTTTTCCTCATCGATGTGTAACCTCTGGAATGCTTATCGAAAGTTTGTATTCTGCTTATGATACCAGAATTCTGTTTAAATTCTGCTGGTATTTTAAAATTCTTTAGCAGAATTTCTTTTATCTTGAATGTATACGATTCTAGTTCCATTATTCAAAGTTTGCCTTCTGTTAGGCGTAACAAAATTCTATTTTCAGCCCTACTGATAATTTTAAAATTGTTTAGTAGAACTTTTTATTAGTCGATAGAGGACCTTCTAGTATGCTCTCTTGGATGTTTGTATTCTCTTAGTGGCATTAGAATTCCGTTTAAATTTCCTCGTCAATATATTCACTCCTCGTATGATTATTGAAAGTTTGTATTCTGTTACTGGTAGCAGAATTCTGTTTAAATTCTGCATGTACTTTTAAATTCTTCACTAGAAGTTTATTGCTGATGGATATATAAACTCCTAATATGCCTATTGAGTGTTTATATTTTGTTACTTCTAACAGAATTCTATTTAAATTCTGCTTGTATTATTATATTCATCATTAGAAGTTTATTCTTCGTCGACATATGCATTCTTTCTATGCCTTTTAAAATTTTGTATTCAGCTACAAGTAACAGAATCCTGTTTAAATTCTGCTTGTATTTTTGTATTCTTCACGAGAAGTTTTATTCTGGAGGATATACACACTCCTCCTATGACTAGTGAAACTTTGTATTCTTATTTCTAGCAAAATTCTCTTTAAATTCTGCTTGTATTTTTATATTCTTCTCAAGAAGTTTATTCCTCGTGGATATATACACTCCTAGTATGACTATTTAAGTTTGTATTCTGCTACTTGTAACAGAATTCTGTTTAAGTTCTGCTTCGTTTTTTATACTAATCACTAGAAGTTTATTCCTCGTGAATATATACACTCCTGGTATGACTATTTAAGTTTGTGTTCTGTTACTTGTAACAGAATTCTGTTTAAATTCCGCTTGTATTTTTATATTCTTTACGACAAGTTTATTCCTCGTGGATATATACACTCCTAGTATGACTATTTAAGTTTGTATTCTGTTACTTGTAACAGAATTCTGTTTAAATTCTGCTTGTATTTTTATACGAATCACTAGAAGTGTATTCCTGGTGGATATATAGGCTCGTCGTAGGTCTATTGAAGCTTTGTATTCTGTTACTTGTAGCAGAATTCTGTTTTAATTCTGCTTGCATTTTTAAATTCTTTACTAGATTTTCATGGTTGGCGGATATATACACTCGTGGTATGCTTATTGAAAGTTTGTATTCATAGGGAATCCATGGTTTACCGATTGGAATATTAAATTCTGAATTCTGCTTATTAGGAATTCTGCAGCCCCTCGGATTTTGATCTTATCATTTATTTTAATTTTCTTTTAGAAAATTATGAAATTAAGAGAAATATATGTCGAGAGTAAATCACATCAAAATCAACCTAACTAGTTGAAACTCTTATTCTGCTAAGCTTACTTCTACTAGAGCACTCAATATTATGCTTGCTATATATTTCTTTTCTTCAGTACTCGAAGCTTCAATGAGTATCATAAGATCTAAAAGTGCTTGAAGTGCCGAAAATGAATGTTCGATAAAATAAAGGTTTCGAGTGGTCTGAATTTGATGGCTGCCGAAGGGCTGGAAGTCATAACGGATCGAACGACAAATATGTTTTAAACTTCCAAGGGTTCGTCGCACTCATCATATACTTTTTTCAAGTTTACTTGAGTAGAATTGTCAAAATCTACTTTATATATGTAATATCGATGTTACACAGGTCCTCAAAGTTATAATTTCGTCGATGAGTGTAACTTCGATATGACATATGTATACTCAAAAGTTTATTTACATTTGTTTAATCGAAGAAAATATCATTTTCTTTCTATTCCATTTTATAAGTGTATTTATAGTAAATTATCGGATTATCATAGAAACAAATGTGAATAGTTGTCGTTTTCATAGTCATGTGAATTCGGTATCGAAGTAATACAGAGAGTGCATAAGCATTCTGAACAAATTTCATTGACGTCATCAAAAGGATGTGTGATATTGGGTTATCTAAGAAGCTATTACAATATCTACGTAAATGTTTATAAGAAATTTCAACAGAATTTGTATCAGAGGCAGCAAAAGTGATGGATGTATAGCAGAGATGTATATATCATTATTGCTCAATACAACTAGCAAGATTTTTCAAAGCATTTTTAATATTTTTGTGATTTCAATGTATTGTTGATCATTGAAAAAATTATTTGATCATAACTCATAATAATGCATTGTCATCAAATAATTATCCAATAACTTATTTGACTGCTACACTAATGCCCATACCTATTACATATATGCTGTTAGTTACGTCTATCTATATCTTTCTTTGAATCATGTATTTTTCTCATTGTTTTCTCTTGATTTCTTCCTTTACTTGCTTGTCTTACTTGTATTTAAGTGATTTCTTTGTAAAGATAATGTGCTGAATATTACAAATAAAACCTCATTCACATAACTATGTATTTAACAAATATTTTCAGACGATTATTATCTTGAATGATTCTTTTTCCATGAAAATCAAACAATATTTTTTGAATGTTATTGAAAGTGAGAAACAAATTAACAAAAGTAGTTCTGATTCTTAGTTTGATGTATATTTCTTACATATATGACAAATCTATAAGTTTTATTTAATGATTCAGAGGAAACAACTGTGATCAAGATGATTGTGATTTAGTTTTATAGAAATAGAATTTTATAGAGAAATACATAAAATGCATCACATACATATTAAAATATTAAATAAAAACTATAAAGAGCTTTCATTATCGTAATATTATTATTTAATATCGCAGGAAGATCAACGGAACCATAACATATGTTCACCACCATTTCATGACGTATATGAATTCTCGAATAATTTTATTAATTAAAAGATAGAGACATACATCTCCTGACTGTGAATTCTCCGGAAATAGAGGTAGACACATCATTTGCCTCAGAAAAGCAGACATGTAATCTATAAGATGATTGTATAAGATTTCATTATATTTTCTACATTTTTCTGAAATCTTTTTATAAAACAATACTACTGATAGATTTATCTATTCAGCCAATCCATCATTCCAGTTATTGAAAATTTAATATCACTAAGATTTGCGATAGACACTTAGCAGAATTTTTTATATATTATAACAATGATGATTGTTGATATTTTTGTCACATGATATGTTTGTTAATATTTTTTTAAAAGTTACTGTCGTTTATTCTTATGAGTAGATACTTTTCTGGTAATGAATGAGAAGAAAAAAAAGTCTTATTGTGCCACATGTTCTTTAAAGATGAGGACTAATGAAAGTGTTCAACTGTCAGAATGAGACATATTTCTTTGACAACGGACAAAGAATAGAAGTGACTTGATACATATATATATTGTATGTACTGTGTCCATAACAATGGTAGACCAATGACAATACGGACCACCATGTGTTCTCAATGTTACTCCTACTCGTTATTTTAACATTTTACTGATTCTGTGAAAAATGTTCCGCCTGATTGTATCATAATCGTAAGCTCGTTATACTTGTTGTTATTTGATAACTATTTGAATATTATTTTTATAGGCTTGACTCCTAATGCAATGTTAATTTTCAGGTTTGATACTGTTGTGTATTTATTTGAAGTAGAGAAAAAAAAACATTGCATGTTTTTGAAGTAGACTTTTTGCTTTTAATTTTATGAGTAGTATGTTACTTGAACACGTCTGACGCTTGAGAAAAAAAAAACGTATGATAGATCGTCATTACTTGAATATGTAATGATGTGTTTAAAAAAAAAGAACCACTCTGCTAAAGATGGAATCGTTCTTTTTTTTTTTCTCTTACTAATGCAACATTTTTAGACGTACGGAAATTGCATATAGCTCTGTTTTCCTTTTTTTTTTAATTTTGTCGCATTATTTTCTATTGAATATTTATCCATAGATCTTGATCGTTCTTTTTTCTTTTTAATTAAAATTATATCATGTATTCAATAAAACCAATAGATATTTTTTTTTATTCTATTTCAATATCTTGAAAAGACATATCCAGATAATATTTTAACTTTGTCAACATTACTATCATCATCATCCTCAGGCAAAAAAAAAACAACTACTCCTTTTAATTATCAAATTGATTACCTGAGAATAATATGTGTACTATAAATCTATGTAATGGAAATAGAAAGAATGAATAATTCAATCTAATATTGATTGATCTAGAGAAAATAAAATGAACTATAACAATGAGAGAGAAAAACTAAGCACTCTCCGGAAACAATATTGAATAATGAATACTCAGAAATGACAGCGGCAACATAACAGGAAATGATCGTTTATATAATAGAATACGTTTAGAAGATGTAGTCATCTGGTAAAATTACGTTTATTTCAAACAACATTTTTAAACTTTCTTTTTATTTTTTTTAACCGTTATAATCATCAACTTAATTGACATGATTATTCTATGATTAACAACCATTCGTTCTATCTTTGATAAAAACATTTTCATATTGAATTTGCTTTTATATGAAGTATTTTTTTTTTTGATCAGTTCTATATATTTAAATCTATAATTATGTTAAGTGTACTTTTTTTGTTACAAAACGTATTAGTCAGTAAAACGCTGTTTAATCACTATTTTTAGACATAATATCAATAAAATCTTGATACTATTAACAGAATCAACTCTTCTGTTTCTGCATTACTTTTCTTAAAACAGTAAAAAAAAAAAAAAAAGGTGGCTATTGCCTTAATTATCACATAGGTTATTCATTCGTATGCTTTTATTTCTATTACACTTCGCCTGCCATTCTTTCCAATTATCGTAAAAGCTTTCTGATTGAAAGGACTACTTTTCTCAACATGTTGACAACATAAGTTACTGTACATATATTTTTACACAGGCAGATGTCTAAAATCTAGAATTCTTTTTTATTCAATAGATTCGCTATTAGATTCTCTACATCAAATATATTTGATGATTTCAACAGTGAATAATTGAACCAATCGATGCAGATATTGTTCTTATATATCGAAAAATGGTTCACTCTATAGAAAGAAAAAATGTAAAAAGAGAATCGAAACCTATATTTATCACACATTATTTAGTAGAAAGAATACAAACAAATATTTACCAAACACTATTTCATGAACTATTGTTCATTTTTGACTTTTGCTTATGAAAGTAGAAATGAAACGAGGATTTCTGTTAAAGATATTTCTATTTCTTCTAGAATTTCTCCTTTGAATAAAAAATTAATAGAATTGATATCTTCTTCAGTGTTTTTGACTTCTGTCTAAAAAGTAAAAACGAATGAATGAATTTTTCTCTAGTGTGAAAATGATGAGATATAAATGATGTTGTTTCTTAAATATTGTCAATCATCAACGATTTCTTTTTTTTTACGTACACTTTGTATTTATCACTTTATAGGTAAGTCATAACAAGTTCATTTCTGTTTCGTTTTCTGAAACCGATCCGTCATAAAATTATCTATAGTAATCAAAGTATAAGATATTATAATTGTTCCGTGTTATATTGAATTAGTTTTCTAAACAAGTAATAGATGATTTTGTTTACTTTAAGTCTTTCTAGTAATCAAACTCTTGAACTCCTTCATGTATACCTGTCGAATAATATAGCTACTAAGCCATATCAACCGACTTATCTATAAGGAAGTATTGAAATATTTTTTTTTTTATTATTTCTAAGAAAATAAGTCAAGATTTTAGGAATAGTTTTTGTAGAGATGTACAAAAAATAAACAATATTGCCAACATTTTATAATATCATCAGTAATTACTTCAATAAAAGTATAATTGATTCAGAAGATGAAAATGAATAGTACAATACTACAATGAAATATATTTTTAGATTTAAATTAAATCATTGATAATTCTATTTCAAGCTGTCGACAAGTGTCTCTTGACATCACCAGGAAAACGAATAAAACAATACTGATACAAAAAACATGTAGGAACAAATATCGAATAAAATGTTTCTCTTTCTTCCTACACATGATCATTATAAATACGCATAAATCTGAAGAAATTTAACGAAAAGAAATCATACTGAGTTAAGTAAAGCTTAGTATTGATAAAGATAGAAATAATAAAAAAAAATTATCGATTAAGTTTATGTTATAAGGAAAAGATTTTTTTTTTCGATTTTATTTTAAAAAAGTGAAGGTGTTTCCATAAAATTAGATGATCAAATATATATAGAGAGATCAATATGAAGAACATGATAATGTAGTCTTTGTAGTTGAGAAAAGAGGAAAAGAGAATGAGAAATTGCGCTTTTTTTTTTTTTTCATAAATAATGCTCGCAAGTGCACAGCAAAGATAAAGTAAGAAAAATTATTCTTTAGTTCTTTTTGCAACCATGTTTCTATCATTGCACGTATGAAGAAAATATATTATGCTTGAATAATTTTAGATGTGAGAAAAAAAGGACCGATGACAAACTTCTTTCATCTTCATATGAAAACTTACAAGCAAAATGATTTTCAATTATATTTCAACATAAATATTTAGTTTTTTACGATATACACAATAAAATTGAATATATTAATTGCTTCAAATTCATAATTAGAATATGTTGACAAAATCACTTAAATTATTTACGATTTTAACAAGTTTTATCTTTTTTATTGTAACTATGTCATCTACATTTCTCTATCATCGAAAACTTATTATTATAAATACCACAATTCTAACTATGAATACTTCTAGTCTTTCTTTCTATCCATATATAGCTGTACTTGTTGAATTTCGTGCTGTTGATCATATAATTACTATTGTTCATAATATTAATTATCATATTCCATCAACATGGCCTATTCAAATTTTTCATGGAAAAGATAATGAAGCTTTTATTAAAAACTCAACATTAGCACCATTAATTGCATCTGGAAAAATATTTCTTACTTTAATGGAACAAGTTTATGGAAAAAATCGAACAAATGAATTATTAACAGATTCTAAATTTTGGCAACATGTTCGTGGTGAAAGAATTCTTTTCTTTCAAATCGATTCAGCTATGTGTTCAAATTCTCCACATAAAATTACTGATTTTCTTCAATATGATTTTATTGGTGCTCCATGGGATCCAGCATGGTTTGGACCTAGTAAAGACTTA